AGCCTCCGGATGCTCCTCAAGGGGAGCCCCATGTAGAGAGCATTGCAGTAGTCCAGGCGGGAGGTGACGAGAGCCTGAGTGACTTGTGCGCAAGGCGTCCCGGTCCAGAAAAGGCCGCAACTGGTATATCAGGCGAACCTGATAAAACGCCCCCCTGGTCACGGCCGACAAGTGATCTTCCAATGTCAGCCGTGAATCCAGGAGGACTCCCAGCTTGCGTGCCCTCTCTGAGGGGGCCAGGATTTCGCCCCCTATAGTCAGCGATGGAATCAGCTGACTATGCCGAGGCGCTGGCATCCACAGCCACTCGGTCTTGGAAGGGTTGAGTCTGAGTCTGTTCCTCCCCATCTGTATGCCATCCCTTATCAAATCCATAAAACGTCACGTTTTTAATCCTGGTGTCAGCAAAAAAAATATATGTTAGAATTAAATGTGTAGTTTCAGCCCTGATTAAATAAACTCTTTTGTTGTTAACATTCTTAATCTTTAACTCAATCAAATATTGTCGTAGGATTTGATTTCAATTCTTTTTTTATCTCATCACCCAGATTTCTTCAAGGTTTTCACAAGCCTCTTTTGTAAATCCACTAAGAAAGCATTTTCCAAGTCATTTTTTGATTCATCATTTATATTTCCCCTTTCATTCTTAAAACTGCAAACAGTTTCTTTTATATATCCAGTAAAACATCATTTTTGAAATCATTCTTTTGGCCTGTCATTTGTAGTTCCATTTTTGGTACTTTCACTGTCTTGTTAGATATTTTTTTCCCACATCTGTCATTCCTTCGTTCAGACATAGTATATTCATAGAAGCAGACATCATTCCTTACGGTTTTGATATTGTAACTCGTTTCTGGTTCCGTTCTTCAAATATCTCCTTTAATGTTTCCAATGTTACAATGTTTTGTTGCATGAGTAATTTCCTAAAAACTTAAAGTCAGGAAATGTCTTGGTATAATTTCCAGTTGTCTGGTGGTAATTGTACTTTGTTTTGGCTTACAGTTTCCCCTTATATTATCTTACTGCTCCAAATGAAACTTTGGAATACATTCTTGAATATCGGTGAGCACTCATCCAAACAAAATTTATCCACATTTCAAAATATGTATATTCCACATTTTCAGAAGTCTTGCACCAAACTACACTTACATTGCAAGTAGAATCTTGTGATTAATTAAAGAATTTGAATTCATAACTGTTGGTAGATCTTCATTTCTTGACTTCCCATCTATATCCAAAGCATCTAGATCAGAGGTCCCCAACCTTGGCAACTTTAAGACTTGTGATCTTCAACTCCCAGAATTCCTCAGCCAGCTTGGCTGGCTGAGGAATTCTGGGAGTTGAAGTCCACAAGTCTTAAAGTTGCCAATGTTGGGGACCTCTGACCTAGATGATATATGAAAGTTACTTATTGGTTGCATTCATGCATTGTGCTGAATTATGATTTGTTGAGCCAGGATCAGTCCTGCAGATAAGCAAAATAACAAACTTGTTCAGCCAGTTCCTAGTTTATTTTCCTTCTTTCTTCAGTTTTTTCTTGTCTTGCGTTTCTGTGGGTTGCTTTGGTGGAGAACTGAAGTCAACCATAAGCCATGAAGCCTATTTCTGTTTTATTTCATCTCAACTACAATCAATAACTGAACATTAAACCATGGTTTCAAGCATGAGATCCCTGCCATAGAACAAGCTACAACTTCTTTGTTCTCATTTACATATCATACAAAGCCAAAATGTGCAACCCGCAGAAAAATTTAATACAATTTATACATGGTACTAAAACATAATATGTTGTAAACCTAATGGGAATTCAGCCATTGTGCTTCATAAATCATTGTTTATGATCTAATACTGTACAATATGTGAAGTTGCTATAACTATGCCATTGCTAAGAATTAACAATGTGATGGCACATAATCAAAAGTAAGTAAATATATAAGAAAACAATAATTAAAATTATATATTATCGCCATATAATTTTCATATATACAGGCATATATCCTCAACTTACAACAGTTCATTTAGTGACTGTTCAAAGTTACAACAGCACTTAAAAAAGTGACTTATGACCGTTTTTCACACTTATAACCCTTGTAGCATCCACATGATCATGTGATCAAAATTCAGATGCTTGGCAACTGACTCATGACGGTTGCTGTGTCCCAGGGTCACGTGACCACCTTTTGCGACCTTCTGACAAGCAAAGTCAATGGGAAAGCCAGATTCACTTAACAACCGTGTTACTAATTTAACAACTGCAGTGGTTCACTTAACAACCGTGACAAGGAAGGTTGTAAAATTGAGCAAAACTCACTTAACAAATGTCTCACTTAGCAACATCAATTTTGGGCTCAATTGTGCTCTTATGTTGAGGACTACCTGTATACTTGTACACATATGAACTTTAAGCCATTGTTGAATGGTTTGGTTTGAATTGTATGCTAAGTTATAGTGGGTGACTTTGTATAGCACAGTGGTGGCGAACCTATGGCACGCGTGCCAGAGGCGGCACTCAGAGCCCTCTCTGTGGGCACACACGCCGTTGCCCCAGCAGAGTTGAGCGAGCACGTGGCGTTTGAAAGCAACAGGACAGGAAGTGAGCGAGCAAGCAGTATTGCCCCCCCCCGGGGATGCCCTGGAGATGGCGAGGGACTGCCCCCGCTCCGCTCACCCAGTCTGCCATGACCAGTGCAGCCACGCCCACCCAGTGGGCCATGCCCCCCCGAGGGCACAACAATGGTGATGCAGCCTTGACACTTTACGATAAATAAGTGGGTTTGGGGCACTAAAAGGTTCGCCATCACTGGTGTAGCATATTGTCCCAGCATTTCTCAAAATGGGTCTGGGTCCAGCATTGCTTTGCCGAGCCAGAGACATACCTTGTTCCTGCCTCGTTTGCATTCTGACAATAGGGAAAGAATTACAGACAAATAGCTTGAAACTTTATTGAAAAAAGATTGCAAAAGATCAAAAACATAAAGAAACATAAAGAAACATACAAGTAATAATAGATTAGTTTTCTTCTTACTAAACATTTCTCTCATAAAATTGTTTCTTTCAATGATAGTTTCCTATATTTGTTGTCATATTAGGAATTGCCTGTCCTTCATGATTTTTAGTCTTCTCAAGTGGACCCTGAAGAGCAGAAAGCAGAGAAGTCCTGCTCTAGATACGTCTTGCATCCTTTGTAAATTATGCCATAGAGTTCCCTTCAGTGGAGACATAGTAAGATGCTAGTTCACTTACTGGGGGTGTTCATTCCTGTTTTTTTCTAAGCGTCCATTCCGTCCATTTTAGTTTGTGAATCCAGAACAATAATAGAATTTAAAATAGAATGCAGTGGGGAACACCAATGGAGCTTCTTGATAGATTTTGAGGACTACACGGTTGTGATCTAATTTATTCTCGGAAAATTCTCAAAAACACCATAACAACAGGGTACCTTGGAGTTTGTGAAACTTAGCTTCTATATATGTCATTAAATTCATTTTATTCCAACACACACATTCATCTTTAAACTGGGGGGGGGGGGGTATGAAGAAAAATTTGCCTGAAAAACATGATGAAAACTGATCATTCTGCATTAATGAAGTTTGCGCGACTATTGCTTATCAATCCTGGCCAAATTTCTAATGCCTCTGAGATGTTAAAAGTGCTGTTCTAATGTAATATTTGTCCCAGTTCAAATATTAGTTCAGAATGCGGCCGCGCGGGGGATCCTGGGGGCCTCTAGATACTCCCATGTAACACCTCTCCTGCGCGAGCTGCACTGGCTGCCTGTGGCCTTCCGGGTGCGCTTCAAGGTGTTAGTAACAACCTTTAAAGCGCTCCGTGGCAATGGACCTAGGTATTTGCAAGACCGCCTCCTACCAAACACCTCCCTTCGACCAGTCCGCTCCCACAGAGAGGGCCTCCTTAGGGTGCCGTCGGCCAGTCGATGCCGGCTGGCGACCCCCAGGGGGAGAGCCTTCTCTGTGGCAGCTCCTACCCTCTGGAATGACCTACCCCCCGACCTACGTACAACTACGGACCTGCGCCTTTTTCGCTGAGCCCTGAAGGCCCATCTATTCCGTGCGGCCGGCCTGGCGTAGTTTGATTATGTTTTAGTGGGGGTTTTGTATGGGGTATTTTTAGAGCAGGCCTGTTATTTAATTTGATTTTAGAACAGAAATTTGTGTATATTTATCATGGTTTTTATTATCGCCTGTTCACCGCCCTGAGTCCCGTAAGGGAGATAGGGCGGTATATAAATTCAATAAATAAATAAATAAATAAATATAGTCCTTTAGAATCTTTCCCTGATCATCATATGATCTGACAAGACATTCCATGCCAAGAGCTGCTTGCTACACCTTAAGGAATGCGAGCAAGAAAAAGATCTGCATGAGTCGCTGACTCATTGATCACAGAGATTCATCACACGTGGTGCTTTCCTTTCTAGACTTTACTCTGGAAAGGCTGATGTTTTTAAAGATTTGGTTTCTGCCACGCTCCATTTGAAAAATAATTTGTTTCTTAAAGATTGGGCACTGGGATTTTATAGTTTCAATTCCTATATGTGGTGCTTAGGTAAAGTACAGGGGAGAGAGCAAGAATCTAATCTGCTTTTTTGCTGAGTTTATTTTAATTTGCTTGGATGGTCTAGTCTGCTTATGGGCTAAATATTTATATTGTTACATATGAAACAAGGGGAAAAGAAGAAGAATATATCTATGCTTGCAAGGCCTCTTATTTTATTTATTTTTTATTTATTTTGCAAAATTTATACAGCCATCTATTTGCTCACAGCGACTCTAGGCGGCTTTGCAGAAAATATGACAGGGTTGCCTTTTTCATTTCATACATGGAAAAACTAGCCTTGTTATCTCAATGTGACTTAAGCAGATTCAGTAACTTTGTTACTCAATTCTCCCAAGTCATTCCTTAATATATTTGCGCTAAATCCAAACCTTCCTGGTCCCCTTCACAGATTAAAACATTAACTAAACTATCTCTTTTTTCAGAAGTCAGCTACTTGGTACTGGAAGGACTTGTCATCCTGTTCGAAGCAGGTGGGGCAAAAATTCCTGCGTGTCAAACTCTGGTCAACCGTGGTAGTTCTTTGCATTGGCTGGAGCACCCGTTGCTCTTGGAGTCTAGGCCATGACCAGCAGAGGAGCTGCCAGGCCGAATGGGCAATCGCAAGCCAGCAAGATCTGCCAGTTCAAGCTAGTACTGTTGGGTGAATCAGCAGTAGGCAAGTCCAGCCTGGTGCTGCGCTTTGTCAAGGGACAGTTCCACGAATACCAGGAGAGCACCATTGGAGGTAAGGAAGCTTCTGCATGCGGCCTTTCTTCTTCCAAGGAGGAAAATCTGTAGCTTAAATCTTAGATTACACCTGAGCATTTTATGACGTGTGGGCCATACCTAGTCCATGAGGAATTCTAGTTCAGTCGGCGGCAGTAGAGGGATGGGGCATTAGGGTAGCAGTGGGGGATGAGGCAGCGGCGGGGACAGGGCAGTGATGGCCCTCCGCAACAGTTTCTCATGTGACCCCTTGGAAAATTAATTGGCCACCCCTGCCTTAAATATCCCCTAGATCAGTGGTGGCGAACCTATGGCACGCGTGCCAGAGGCGGCACTCAGAGCCCTCTTTGTGCCCCGGAGATGGCAACCATCCCTCTTCAACCAGTTGCCTGAGGTCCCACATGGCTGGATGCATCCCAGCACGGCTGGTTTCCCTCCCCCCCCATCCCGTCCCTCCTGGCCTCACATGCTCTCCTTTTCCCGGGCACGACCCACTGCATAGCCTCCTCAGTTGTAGGCCACCTGTCCAGCTCGAAGGCGGGTTCTCTGAACTGCTGGCAGTGGGCTGTGGAGCCCCAGAGTGCGCCGGTTGAGGAGCCGGCAGGCTGCGGCTGCTGACGGACACCGTCGGCCCCCATGTGCTCGCTGGCTTCTGTGTGCGGGGGCCGATGGTGTCAGGCAGCAGCTGCCCTGGCCCCTGCCTTGCCTTGCCCCGTGGCAATGGTACCCCCGCCCTGCCTCGCCTCGACTTACCTCGCAGGACAAGCCTCCTGCCCGCCGCCCCACCTGCCGGAGACCTCCTGGATCTCCCCCAGCCCTGCCCGGCCCCCACAGGCATCGTTCCCCACGAGCAACATCGAGGTGACCATGACCACCACAGCCACGCCCACCCAGTGGGCCACATCCCACCTGGCACCCAGCGATAAATAAGTGGGTTTTGGGTTGCAGTTTGGGCACTTGGTCTCTAAAAGGTTTGCCATCATTGCCCTAGATGCCACCCTTGCTATATTAATTCATAGTCTCCCTTAGGACATCAACTTTTATTTTTATGCTTCCTAATTCATCCCAAAGTACTCTGTTCCTCATCTTGCCTCTTCAAGAATTCCAGTGGGATAGTGATGGGATGCAATCTAATACAATTATTTCAGTTTTTTAATAAATTTACAGACATTTCTAAAACTCTGTTATTTTTACTTTGGCATTATGGGGTATTGAGTGTAGATTAATGAGAAAAAAAACGAATTTCAACAACTGTAGAATCAGGCTGCAGCATAACAAAATGGACAAAAGTGAAGGAGGACTGAATGCTTTCTGAATGCACTGTAAATAAATAAGAATAAGCCATTATTTCATTGAGTCCAGTTTGACAACACTCATTTTAAAATGCGTGATATATAATTCTATAAAGTTTTATTTTGTCTATAAAAGACTTTATATGGAGTGATAAGCTATTCACTGCTTTTGAAAATTATATTTTAAAATAATGAACTTGTAAAAATAACTCAGTAACTTTCTCATAATTGCTTTGATAAGGGTATTATAGAAAACCTCCTTTTTATAGGGACATCTTTATGATCACTGAGTCATCAAAAGCCTTTGTATACTATACTGAGTTGAAGCATTTTTTATGTATGAACTTATTACATTTTTGCAAAATAAAACCTAAGGTTTCCTTTAGAAATGCTATTTAAATGTTAAGATGTTTTTTTGTTGGTAGACAACAAAAGAGATCTAAAGTCTGTACCAGTTAGAGACATGTTGGAAGAAGGTTTGTTTTTCTTCATATTGTTATTCTGAGAATTTTCCAGCATGTGTTTCTTTATATTACTTTGAAATAATTTAATCCTAGGAAGGCTGCATCATATGATTTCTACCTGTCTAGTTGGCTCTAGCAAACTTTGTTTGCAGAATAAAAGTCTAACACACCCTTCACTTGTGTATATAGCCCTGTACCAGTTACCTCTTACATAACTGGACAGACATTCAGAAAATGACCTCCAACAATTTGATGAACCAAACAGCTTAGTAATCTTGTATTTAAATATAAAGGATTGTACCTGTTATGTTCTCCTCTCAGTAACTGACTTTCTGTTTTCTTACAGCGGCTTTCCTCACACAGTCTGTCTGTCTAGATGATACAACGGTAAAGTTTGAAATCTGGGATACAGCTGGTCAGGAAAGATATCACAGTTTGGCTCCGATGTATTACCGAGGGGCTCAGGCTGCCATTGTGGTATATGATATAACCAACCAAGTAAGTTTTTACTGTTTGCTAATGTGCAGATATAGGGGAGGGGGTATTATTTATGGCAGGGGTGTCAAACTGCCGGCCCGCGGGCCGGATGCGTCATCTGGAAACCACGCCCACCCCATTGCTGGCAATGGCGAAAAAACTCCGATACGTTGCGCGACGTCACCCATTTGTTGAGTGACCATTTGAAATTACACCACTAAAAAAAGTGACATGACCATTTTTCACACTTACGACCATTGCAAGCATCCCCATGATCACGCAATCAAAATTCAAAGGCTTGGCAACTGGCATGTGTTTATGACAGTTGCAGTGTCCCGGGGTCATGTGATCACCATTTCTAACCTTCTGACAAGCAAAGTCAATGGGGAAGCCAGATTCACTTAATAACTGTTTTACTAATTGCAGTGATTCATTTAACTACTATGGCAAGAAAGTTCATAAAATGGGGGTAAAATTCAAACAACTGTCTTGCTTGTTTGTAAGTCAAGCACTATCTCAATTGTGATGGAATAAAGCCCTTGGAGAAGAGTTTTTGGCACTATGGCACCCCAGGAGGAGGCAGTAAATTCCATTAGAAAGAGGCCTAGATTTAGAGACTGCACAGTGCCAAATTAGATGGGGGAGGGGAGATATATTATACTTATATATATTAGATTAGAGAATTATAGCTTTAGTTTGGCAGGATTGTGTCAGTTAGGTATAAGCAAGTAAAGGATTGAACTTGATTGGATCTCACGGTCTTGTCTATGTCCTTGGGCCTGACACACACATTTACTACACACACACAGGCATACATACCAAGGAACAAAACAATGGAGATTTCAATAACACGTAATTTAGCTTAAGACTGAAACCTTTATTATATAACAGATACCTTGATATACTGTATGTCTCAGTGTGTTGTTTTTTTTCCCTTTCCAGTGCTACATTTAACTTTGAAAAAAGGTTGTACTTGTAATATTGATTTCCTACATTACAATCAACATTGAAAAAGATACACACTTTTTCTTTTTTATTATTTCCAATGTTATATGTAATATCTATATAACAGAATATCAAGAATTTCATTATATTATCAAATGTTGTATTGAAATAATATAATGCAGGTAGTCCTTGATTTATGACCACAGTTGAGATTGGAAGTTTCATTATAAGTAGTGCATTTTATAAAGCGAGCCATTATGTGACTAGATCTGATTTTATAATCATTTTATCCACAGTTGTTTAGTGAATCAGCATGATCATTAAGCAAATCCAGTTTCCCCAATTGATGTTGCTTGTCAGAAAGGTTGCGAATTATGATCATGTAACCACAGAATGCTGCAATCAGTCGTGAATCTGAGCTGGTTGCCAAGTACCTGAATTGCAATCATGTGACTATGGAGGTAGTGCAATGGTTATAAGTGTGAGGACACGACATAAATCACTTTTTCTAAGGTGGTTGTAACGTTCAACCTTTGCTAAATGAATAGTTGTAAGTGAAGGACTACCTACGTATCAAGATTTATAATAATGCAATAAAAAGTAAAACAAAATAGCTTGCCATTTGATCTGAGCTGTAAGTAGGCCTTGACTTACAACTGGTCGCTTGGCAACCTTTTGAAGGTACAATTTTCCCAAAAGCTACTTACAACCTGGTTCCGAAGTTCTGAGGGCCTAGCCATGAGACTCCATTTTGGATGCTTGGCGTGTAGCCTACATTTGCAGCATCCCGTTGCCATGTGATCACAATTTCAAACATTTTTGCCCCCCCAAAATGGTGTTTACTTCTGAGTTTTGGCAAAAGCGGGTCAGGGTGAACAGTGGAGTCACTTAACAACCACCACAAAAAATTGTAAAATAGGGCCAGTCACATGATGACCTGCATTACAACCAGCACGACTTACAACCACAATGGGCTCCATTATGGTCGTAAGTCGAGGATTCCCTATACCAGTGATGGCAAACCTTTTAGAGACCGAGTGCCCAAAAACTGGCCCCGCCCCCGCTCCACCCCCTGCCCCGCCACTGCTCTGCCCCCACCCCACCTGCCCACAGGGCCACTCACCGCCTCCAGGGCCTGCTGCAGATCGTCCAGCAGCGCCATGGCGGCCACACCCTCTGCCCGCACCCCGCAGCATCAACTGTGCACGATGGAGCATGAGAGCAGAGTCTTGTCTACTCTGTCTGATTGCCATGTCCTTGGCTGCACTGCTCCGCATGGGCCACGCTCGGGGGTGACTCTCCTCCAGGGGGGCTGCTGGTGAGGAGGGGGTCACAGGGGAGGCAAGGCTGGGGCAACGGCATGTGTGCCCACAGAGAGGGCTCTGAGTGCCACCTCTGGCACCCGTGCCATAGGTTCGCCACTACTGCCTATACTGAGATTAATAATAAGAAGAATATTACCGTCGTGACCTCTTCTTTTCATGGCTTCCTAGAGGGGTTTGGCCACTGTGGGAAAAGAAATGCTGAAGTAGTTATACTTTCATTTGAATCCAGAAGGTCTCCTTTTATTCCATTAAAATTAGCCAGTTTGAGTGACTGTTGAAATGTTGCTTGGTAGTAGTTAAGAAATATATTTTTCTCATGCCTGTATTTCTGATATTCCTGTGTCTGTCTTTTCCGAAAGGAAACATTTGCACGAGCAAAAACATGGGTGAAAGAACTCCAACGGCAAGCTAGCCCAAATATTGTTATAGCCTTAGCAGGAAATAAGGCTGATCTTGCCAACAAGCGCATGGTAGAATATGAAGTAAGTGATATCTCTTGATTAAGATTATCTTTGAACAGAAGTTATTTTGTTCATGGTAAGGTAGTGGCGTCTATAATTCTGTAAGGCTAAAGCACATGTCCAGGTAAATAGTGTTAGTTCTGCCTTGCGTTTGATGAAAGAACAGTGAGATAGCCTGGAGCTTTCCTAGTTTGTCCTGTTGGAATTCCATGACTATCTGTATGATATTTTCCCCTTTCTTAGCTTTTGGACAAAAATAAGACTGACCACTGTTGGGCTAAGCTAATACTGAATCAGAATTTGGGACCATCCAGTTTAGTATTTTCAACTCTAGCTTTCTGATTCCTCAGGCAAATATCTTTTAGCTTTGTCCTTATAATGAGAAATAACTAGGATTAACCTTCAGAGTTTCTGTGTTGAAAGGTGAGCCCCCCTCCAATAACTTGCAAGTTTAATATGCTTGCAAATGTTCTATTTTCTATTTAATATTTTACATGACTCTAACATAAAGCAGAGTTATCACATTTTATTATAAAGCTTTTACCATGAGCTACCTTTATTGCTGTACTTTACACATAAGAGGGAATTATTATTTTGAAAGAAATACCATTACACTGATCATTTGGTCCAAAGGAACTAATAATGCCGGTTCAGAATATTCACAGTATATAAATATAGTAGTTGAGAATATGAGGAAAATTAAAATTTAAAAAAGGGAGGTTTGCAAATGATAAAGCAACAAGAAAAAAAAACTGAGATCTACAGAATACAGAATCCCTCAATGGTTTCTGAAAGAAAATAACTTCAAAATGATGACAACAAAGATGGTTCGTGTACTTGAAATTGTGATGCAAAGTAAGCTTTAGAATACAGTTACTTGGATGTACAGTATTAAAATTAGCAGTTATGGCTGGCAATTCACACCAATGTATTATTTGTTGTTCATAGCATCATATCACACATAATCTCACTGGGAAGTGAGAATGATAAATATAAGAATTCAAAATAACATTTTTCATGGAGGAATTTCTGATTTGCCCATGAACCCTTGTGGTGACTATACTCTTAAAACTTTTATAGTCTTCATGCCATTCTCGAAATACTTTCCATATCTATGAAGCAGCTAGAAATAGTTTTTTATTAAATTAATAATGAAATAAAACCAGGTCCAGATTGCATAGGAACAGAATAGAATCAGCAATGGTAATATACAATGTTGCAAGCTGTTTTTATTCACTGTATAAAATATCTTTCTTTCTAGCCCCCCCCAAATGTACATTTTTCTCTTAATCCTCACAACAACCTAAGATCTTAGCTTAGGTTGAGAAATATTACTTTCTTTTGACCTTTTAGATGACACTCAAGGCTCAGTATCGTAAATGTCAGTAGGAAAGTTTTGTAATACGTATGAATACAGCATTTTAAATATAAGATAGACTCAAGCTCAAATATCATTTGCAGTTTGTTTACCTTTCCAAACTACAGGCTTAGAAACTAATCTTTGTATGATATTCCTTTATATCTGGCATTATGACAGATTCTAGATCGAAATAGGCTTCTAATAAATTTATTTCATCCTTAGTGGTTCTGTTAAAAAAGAGAACATGCTCTCTCTTTCCAATTCCTCAAAGTTTCCTCAAATTCTGTATTTTATATTCTGTATTTTAAGCAGTAAACAGTGTTGCCCGCTTTGCTTTGCCTAATTTAGAGCATTAAATTTGTCTAAAGTTCAGTCTGTACTTTTCTGTCTTATTGTCCTGCAGGAGGCCCAGGCTTATGCAGATGATAACAGTCTATTGTTTATGGAGACATCAGCCAAGACAGCAATGAACGTTAATGATCTCTTCCTGGCAATAGGTAATGTGCAAGGCATTTATGACATTACAGGTAGTCCTTGACTTACGACCATTCCCTTAATGACAGTTCAAATTAACGTTGGCCTTGGAAAGGGTGCTTTACGGCCTGTAAAGCACTTCTGACTGTAGCAAAAGGTTGCACATGCGCACACACATCTGATTACAATCTGACCACCTAGCAACCCATTCGTATTTACAACTGGTTGCCAAGCGCCTTGCGATCATGTGACTACCACATGCAATCTTCCATGCTGGCTGCCTGAGAAAGTCTTGGATTTCAGGGGAAGAATTTTCAGCCCCTGAGTAGAGAAAGAGAGAGACACTCGCACACAACCTGTGCTGGGCCTCCCCTACCCTCCTGAGGCACCGGGCACTCCTTAACTTATACGCTTCCTCTCTCTCTGTTCTGGCGCTGAAAATCCTTCCTGCCGAAATCCAAGCAGGATTGTCAGCACCCCAGAGAAAAGAGACACTTGTGCATGACCTAGTGCAGGAGTAGGCCACCTCGGCTCTTTTATGACTCGTGGACTTCAATTCCCAGAATTCCTGAGCCAGCATGGCTCAGCTTGGAAACCTCTCCCTTTCCCCTCAGCATGGCTGGCTCAGGAATTCTGGGAGTTGAAGTCCACGAGTCATAAAAGAGCCACGGTTGCCTACCCCTGACCTAGTGCTAGATCTCCCAGAGTCTTCCCACCCCCTCAGAGGCAGCTCACATTCCTTACCTGGCAGTCTGTTCACAACAGTCCATGAGATCACTTAATGACCAGGAGTGTCAGGATTGCAGTATTTAGTGAAGCAGACTTGTGACAACTTGTTTCACGACTAACAGTCCCAATTGTGGTCATAAATCGAGAACCACCTATACTTACTAAAGGCTTTGGCTCTTTAATAAGTTCAGATGGATTGGTTTCACATCAAGCTATTTATCTTGATAGCTGTTTCCTTCATGTGAAACTGCCTCTTGTTTAAAGATATTTGCAAAGAACTACTAATTAGAGCACATGTAGGGAAATATTCTCTAGCTGGCCTGCATTAATAGATGTAAATATTTGCAATTATTTCCGTAGGCTTTATGTTACACATCATGACCTAGAATTTAGAGCAGGGATGGGGAACTGTTGGCCTCCAGATGTTGTTCAGCTACAGATTTTAGCATCCCTCACTCTTAGCCACGCCAGTTGCAGACTTCTGGCTATGGTTCAGCAATTTCTGCAGTTTCGCAAGCTCTCTGCCCTGATGTAGAGCTTACATGTCATTCCCCCCCCCCCAATGACTTTCACATTCTTAGCATTGCCAAGAAGGAGAAAACAAGACAGGTACCAGCTATGCTTTCTAACTGTTCTCAGAATTTGTGTCCTATGAGGATTTCAGCTGCTTTACTGGTGAAGTCATCTATAAATTGTAGTTCTGAGCTTAGTCAGCTAGCAGGGGGCAGCAAAAAACTATTGGTTACTCTTCAGGATTTGTTCAGTACTATCAAGTGAATTATAGTTTCTTATTTCAGCCTATCCTGAATAAATTATTAGCATACTGCTTGTTGATGCCAGGAGCTGCATTTGGCTTTTAAGTGGTATATTGAGAGTTACACTCCAAAGGGTGGGGGAGATTAAATTACTTAATTTAGAGATACACACGCACACAAACACACATATATGGAGATATATAGATAGATAGATAGATAGATAGATAGATAGAGAGAGAGAGAGAGAGAGAGAGAGAGAGAGAGACTCAGAGAGAGAGATTGATGATAGATAGATAGATAGATAGATAGATAGATAGATAGATAGATAGATAGATAGATAGATTAGATAGATTAGATAGATAGATAGATAGATAGATGATAGATAGATAGATAGATAGATAGATGATAGATAGATAGATAGATAGATAGATAGATTGATTGATTGATTGATTGATTGATTGATTGATTGATTGATTGATTGATTTCCCAGCCATGTATTTAATAATATCCTGCCCTTCAAATTAAATTACAATTTTGGAACAAATTTTGGAATTCCCTGAGCTTGTATACAACTTTGAGATCATACACTGTGTACCTCTGGTATAAATAATTATGCATTTTTCAAATTCATGGAGAAATACTAAAGAAATACCACCACCACCCCAGCTAACCGAATAGTGGGGTACAGGGTATTTTAAAGTGTCCCTTAAAAATTTCAGCTTAGGTAGAAGTATAACATTTCACTGCATTATAGCCCTTTGCAATGCTGGCTTTCATGTGATGAATACCTATTTTAGCATTCAGTGTAATATCCATTTGAACTTTAATTTCAAAATTTCCACAAGGGATGGAAATATTGGAGTTACCATTTTAGTGCAAACCTGTTATTTCAGCGCACCTAGGCTCACTGCTTTATTCCAATAACTGATCATATAAGAGCAGGAACCATTTGAGTAGCCAATGCTCCAGAAATCTGACATCGCTGGTACTTTCTTTATTCTTTACTCTTTATTCTTTTTATAGAAGCTGGCACTGTACTTCAGCAGTATCAACACTGTGGAGAATTCATTGCGAATGTTTTCTAGCCCAGGGTCTTTCAAATTTCTTGACAACAAGATGGGTGGCATGTATAAATAGTGTATCCCGAACCCTGTGGTTCTGCAAGAACTTGATGGAGCTCCATGAGAGATGTCCACTCAAGCACAATCACTGCAATTTTGCCTCTTGATCAGAGGCTCTGGGGTTTTATTTTATTTTTAACCTAAAGGTTCCCACAGCCTGAAAAAGTTTGAAACCTCCTACTTTAGGCAGTTAAATACAGATGAATTTGCAAAGAGAAACTTTCATGTGTCGTATGTTCTAGATAATTCCACAAGAAAAGAGTGAGTTCACTTGGGGTACAGAGTAATGCGACAGATACAACTTAGCTAAAATCTGTCTGTTTTGTGATTCCACAAGCTGTGAGTACCATAATGTTTAACCACATGCTACCTATTATATTGGTGATTTTCTAGCAAGCTCCTGACATTTGTACACAATGCGTATTCAGGAAGAATTGCTTAATATTAACTAGCTTGAAGTATTTTATTTAAAATACTCATAACACACTATCTTATATGGATGGCTTGATTACATTTGCTCTACTTTTGATTTTTGTGTTTTAATTTTATAGGCTGTCTTCGAAGACCGGTTTTAGAAGGCCAAGATTTCATACATTATTAATATTTAACTACATGTGAATTATGGAATAAAACAACATATCAATAAAGAAAGTCAAATAGTGCAAACTGATGGCAGAAAAGTAATCCAGTAGGGGCCCACAAATATGTTTCTAAAATAAGTTTCAATTTGCCAGATGAAGGCCAGTAGTGGGGTTTTGCAAATGTCTTTTTATTTGTTCAGAACTCTGGGGGATTAAATGCGGCAATTGCTTTTCCTCAGTAACATCTTTGTCTGTTCTTCCAGCTAAGAAGCTGCCAAAGAGCGAGCCCCAGAGCACAGGGGGTGCTGTGGGGCGGCGAGGTGTGGACCTTCATGAGCAGTCCCAGCAGAACAAGAGCCAGTGTTGTAGCAACTGAATGGTGGCGTTCAGGCAGCGAGAGATAAGATATAACCTCCATTTCTACCCCACTCCACCTCCCCTCCCTTCCAATAACAGCATTGGCACACTTGGAAGCCGTCCCTTCTCCTGAGAGCGCCGTTTCACTGCACTTCTAACGCTTCAGAAACCATCACGAGACGTCTGTTACCACCACCCAACGGAAAGTGGAGATAGACCGACCGGGGACTTAACTTCCAAAAACAAACTCTTATTCACTTTGTATTATAGGTGCAAATAGCTACCTACTTATTTGGATTCCCCTGCTCTGTTTTCTCCCTGATACTACTCTTTTCCCTTGCCATCTCTTATCCCTCCAGCGCACGTGCACCCGTACACACCCACGCTGTCTTTGCTCTGATAAAATATGTGTTCTTTAGTCCTATAACATCCACCGCCACCCTTCACCTCCCTTTTCCCTTTGTTTTCTTTAATAATCTGGGGGACAGTCACAAGCAAGGAGAAACGTAATTCCTGTAGATTTATTTTTTAAGAGCAAATTTAACTGACTTTCTCAAAAAAAAAATATGCACAATTATTTGAGAAGATCCTCTTAGGAGTTCTCTTCATTTTCCATAGCTTCAGAAAAGCTGCAGTGTCCTCGGTTAACTTTTTTTCAGGGCAGAGTTTTGTGGTTACATTGGAGAGGATGATTGTATTTGCTTGTTTTGTTTTTTTTCCTGGCTACGGCATGAGAGTGGTCCAATGTCTCAGTGTCGTCAATATAAGAATGAAATGGTTATAAATTTAGAGTATAAGAAATACTTTCCAGGACCCTTAGATTTGCTCTTGATTGATGCCTTATATTTGTATTGGCCAGGACAGGACAGAGGAGGTTGGAGGGGATGGGAATAGGTATAACTTTTAAAGTTGCTATTTCAAGTCAAAAAGGCTATAGTGTCTCTCCTCTGTTTAGATTCAGTTGTCAGTCCTATTAGATGAAGAAAGAATCGCTCATCTGTAGAAACAAGGTACAAAGAAAAGTAAGCTAGCTTTGTTAACTTGTCAGGATTCTCCTTGGATAGGTTCTTTCTGCTTAGCCTGCACCTTGGATATGTACATCATTAGTCCATGAAGTAGAAAGAGGTTCTAAATTGCCAAAAGGGAAAAAAAAATCCATGTGTCCTTAGCAAAACTTGAATAAGGGCAGTTCCCAAGGGTCGCTGCAGATTTTAGAAGTTCTAAGCAATATGGTTGGGATGAGAAAGTGAGAGGGGAAAAAAAGGCAGCACTCTTGTTGGGAAATGTGACAGGAGGACTAGTACTTTACTTGATATGTTTCCCTTGTTTGAAGCGCCATTTTTTTTTTGCCTTCTGAGTCCTTCCTCGCATATAAGACTTCGTCTAAAGGCCCTCTAAACTTGAGAACTGTTTAAATTGACAGGTTCTTTTTCTTGTATGAAAAAATGAATAATTAAGGAGTGGGTGACACTGGAATTTTTAGTTTCCTGCTTGTTAGCTAAAGAAAAGTAATAGCTTTTTTAAAAAAAATAACTGTAGATAATGCTGCGTGGTAAAACAAAGTGTATTGCCCTCTCTCAAATAGCCAGCAACAATCTGTTCTCCATATAAGAACTGTCTCCCCTCTTCAACTGTGGCCTTTACAAAGTTAATAGCATATTCCTCCAGCCCACACTCTCTGTTTAAATGCTCGTAGCTTTTTCATGCTTCAAACTTGAATACAGTTTCTAAAGAGGAGCTGTTTCCCGGTGCTATCTAGATCTGGTTTAGGGAGTTTTTCTTGGATGTATAATGTTTACTCCATGCAAATTTCTCACATGGTTGAATGTTCTACAACAACAGCTTGACATGGGTTATACACATATGAACACAAACACACATATACGGACACACACACACACACACACACACACACAAAAAACGGACATCAATTCTCCTATTTGACCATGCATTTTAATACTGTATTTGTACATAATGTCCTCCTATATTCTGTATAAAGGCTTGCATTTTTTCCCATTCACTGATGTAACTTAAGTACTGATGTCCACAATCAGTGTGAGCATTTAGCATCTCAACTCCAGGCCACCCTGTAGCCTTATGTGGAAACTGTTAAACTCTGCACTGCTACTGGCACACAGTTGTGCTGCCATTATAAAGGCTAGTTATCTCCAGATGTGGCTTCATTGAACGGGAAGCAATGAACGGGGGAATTAGACTAGGCTGCAGCTTTAATTCTTTCAGCAACATGCTATAGAATTAAGATGTGTGCTGTAACATCTTCCTTCACCCAATTCACATATACAGTTACTTCTGCAGGTTTAATCTGGCTTTTCTCTAGAAAGGTTCATATAGTTTATAAAGCTATCTGGGACCATTCTACATGACCTTAAGAATTTTTCTGTACTCCCTGCGACCAGTTTCAGATCTAATCCCCTTTTTGTTCAAACCCCAATAGTTCTACATGAATCCGGAAATGGCATCTTACACTTATGGATTCATTGACTGTAAAACTCTTCTTTGTTGATGGTGCTTTGATTCCATGCGCATATAATGACCGTTGCAGCCATTATGGAGAACCCAGGAGGAGTCCTAAATATGTCCTTTCCCTCTTCAATAAAGCTGAAATACTGCACTGTGCTCAGCTCGCGGCAAAGGAAAAATAGATTTTATATTTAAGTTACAAGCAAACCCATTTATTTCAATTATTGCCCACAACTTGTTTTTACTAATTTGCTATTAGCTCTTAGATGAAGTGAGGACACTGCAGCTTTTTCTAAACAGAGCAATCCCCCTTTTTCTTCAACTTACTCTTCTCATCTGATCAGAATTCCTTTTTTTTTTCCTTCTGAGAAAACTCTCATATTGCATTTAAAATAACAAATCATGGTAACAGAATTCAACTGCTGATTTACCAATGTATTTAATGTAAGTAAACAAAAATCAGTGTATTAGATGAGCTTGCTGCTTCATTGTGATTTAAAATACATGCCGAATGATAACAGAAATACGAGGTAACTTCGAAAAGTGTAAATATCCTTTTGCAAGTGGGAAGACACCAACTCATAGGTAGCCCAGACATAGAAGCAGATGGGATGGCTACTTAGGATACTTTTGAGTTCAGAAAGTTTCCTCCAAAGTGCCTAATAAACCAGGCTTAGTTCTTGGACTCTTGATAGTCTACTGGGAAAGATAGGGCTACATATGCTAGATCAATTAACATAAAATAATTACTTAGCTTAAAACCTTGAGCCTGCCATACGCAAATATGATTCTATATAGCAGAAGACAGTAGAACCAAACCCAGCAGGTTTAGATAGGTTTGTTTTTGTTTTGTTTTGTTTTTTTAAAAAAAACCTTAAAACTTCAAGCAGCACAAGTTTTATCTAATGAAAAATAAAGGGATTTCAAATGGATAATAGGATATAGAAGTACTTTATAACAAATTTTCTTAGAATGAGTTGCAGAAAATATGTATAATTATTAGCCCAAGCTACTCATCTTTATTTGGCATAGTTCTGCTTATTTGAATGAGATTTTGTTTCCCCAAAAAGTATTCATAAAATTTCAGCCATCTTATACCTACAGCTATTTCCTGCAATTTGATCACCTTGGGAGGGGCATGGAAAAATAACACATATTTGCACCTTGGACATTTCTAATGAAATTCACCTGGGGAAAGAAATGTCAGTTCAGTTTAACAAAATACAATGGTATTGGCTTAAGGGTGAAAAATGCTCCCAATTCATCATTCACAAGGTACCTTGTATGAGTTTGTAAATAAGACATCTGTAAATACTGCCAAACACATTGGGTAGCAAAATGAACAACTTAACAGTGTGTGAAAATTGCTCATTTTTTTCCTAGTGAGAGCATAAACCTTTTGCAAGGGAAGTGGTCAAGATATTTAATAAATTACAACCAACTCCCAGTCTTGGGGAATCTTTTAGGCATTGCTGTCACATGCACATTTTCCGGTTTTGAAGATGGAGAATCCAGATCTTCAGAATTTGGACCTCTTATTTTCAGAGATCTTCATGAAGATCTAGCATACATCTATGCAGCAGTATGGGTAGGATTGGAAACGTATGACTCTGCAAATGTTGGATTGGGATCCTTGTTTACCATTCTGGCAGAAACTAATAGGACTTTGAAGTTCAATCACATATGGAGGACCACAGTAACTGGACCATGGGGTCAGTAACAATCATCCACCTCCAGATTTCACTATTGCCTCTATTAAAATCATGCAGTACAAATGATTTGTGTTTCAAACATGCAAATGAACTGACAAAATGAGAGCATGAGTATCTCTAGTGGCTTATTGCATATTACATATTACGGTTTGCTATAAACTGCATTCTGTACATACTGTATAATCAGGGCTGTGACACAAATTATTCCATAATGAATGTTAGCCTCTGCTTGTACCTGAAACACATTTTTTTTTTGCCTTTCCCTTATACACTTATTCAGTTTGACCACTATAAATATTTTAAATTTGCATACAGAAAGCAAGAGTTGGCCGTAAAAAACATGGACATTTGCAGATTAGCAAAATTTGTATTTCTGCATAGTGGCCTGTAGAGAGCACTGCTGAATGTCAGTTTGAGAAGTTGGGAGCACCGATGGAATACTGTACTGATTTCCAAAAATAGTGGGGGGGGAAAACTTGTTGCAAAAATTTCTGTATTATGGATGTTCCTTGGGGTGAGTAAATTACTACAACAGACCTAAACCTATTTTAATCAAGATATTCACTGATGAGTAATACACTGAATTCAAACTCTTGTAGTATTTCATCTTCTATTCCTTTCTTTTCCCTAGTCATTACTAAGATACTATTGAATTACTGAAAGCTGATTGCACTGATAATGGTGAAAAGTGGAACCCAGTATTTGAGGAAAAAGTTTTCAAACAAATGTGTCAGCTCTATGTTTGCCCAAAATGGATTTGTTCTATGGAAGCTGATGAAAAATCAGAATATACACATATTTTTATCTCTGTCCTCTGAACCCTCTACCAAAATTTCCTTTCTTTCCTGCTACCCCAGTTGTTTTTGGTTTAGATTTAGACATTATATAATAAATTAGCCAGCCAACAAAAAATGACTCTGCATGGATAGCTTTGTTCAGAGGAAATTTTGTCAAAGTAATGTGTCTTTTTTTTCTCCAACAGTATCTGTCAAATATCCAGTCTGCCTTTCTGGAATATGGACAGCTTAAAACATTCTGATCATTTTGGAAGGCATGATTAAATTGAAATAACATTCCTGTAATTGATCGATCACTATATTAAACTTGAATCCAATGTACATTTATTTTTGGTGTTCCACAGAATTCAGTGGGATCCATGGGAAATATATGTGAAATTCAAGAACCAAACATACTTCTAGAAGGAAAGCTAGTTCCTACCAACATGTTTCACATGAATACTGTATAACATGACATTCTTTTCCCATGTTTTAAATTCCATGATTGAGTTCAAAGGTGGCAATATCTCTTTCCTGTTGAGAGCTGGTATTGATTTTCTGCATTGGGACTTGCCTGCATTCTGCCAATTTTACTGGGGAAATTACAAAATCTGAAGAGATAACTGCTTGCCATCATTATTTTACAATATCAAGGTTAGTTGCCCTTTTAAAAACATCTATGAATATAGATGGTTTGGGACCACTGGGCTGGCCCTCCAAGCAGCAGGCGGGGGGGAAGGCATGCAATCTGGCCCGCCCGATGCATTGTGCAGCCACCCACCCACCCGCTCCAGCCCATCTGTCCAGCCCATGGGCCTTGTGATGAAAAAAATAAAACGATCACCTGAAAATAAGCCCTAATTGGTCTTTTGGAGCCAAAATTAATATTAGACCGGTCCTATTTTTGGAGAAATACGGTATTAACCCATGTTCATGTATTTTAATTGTGTGATAAAAAAATTCAGTATGTATTCCTGGTGCTCCACTACTTGATGTACTGAAAACAAGATGTTGTTTTTCCAAAAGAGTAGAATAGACTAATTGAGTGCTATCATTTGGCTTGCAATGTTTTCTTTGTTAAATTTAACCAGAGTCAATCAAGTAAACTAGGATTGATACTGGTTTTCTGGGTTGAGAGGAGGTGAAAACTTCACAAACTTTTAATTCTTCCTTTAACTACGTGAGGCCTTTTATGTGAATTAGGTGCTAGGAGCTCAGTTTTCAGTATGTTTACATAAAGGTTTGGAGGATTCAATTTGGCAAGATTTCCATTCAAGTTTAATTGTGCAATGCAGTACAATAGCTACAATACAGATAGTCCTCAACTTACAACCATTCATTTAATGACTTTTTGAAGTTACAATGGCACTGAAAAAAGAGACTTCTGATTGTTTTTCACACAACTGTTGCAGCATCCCCATGGTCATATAATCAAAATTCAGACACTTAGCAACTGGTTCATATTTATGATGGTTGCAGTGTCCTGGGATCACGTGAACACTTTTGGGGATCTTCTGACAAGCAAAGTCAATGGGGAAGCCCGATTCACTTAACATTGTGTTACTAATATAACAACTGCAGTGATTCACTTAGCAACTGTGACAAAAAAAAGTCATAAAATGGGGCAAAACACAACTATCTTGCCTAGCAACAGAAATTTTGGGCTCAGTTATGGTCTTAAGTTGAGGGCTATCTGTAGTGCTTAAGTGCACTACCTTGCACTCTTGGAGGAAAAGGTTGTTTATAAACCTAACAAATACCAGTTATTATGACTTACTTACACGTTTCCTCCTGCTTTAGCATATCAATTATCCTAATCTGTATTTTGTGTTTACCTACAAAGGACTGGCAAAGCCCTTCCTCCTGACATAGTATTTATAAACTCCCCAAGCCACTAGATCAGTGGTGGCAAACCTATGACACACATGCCAGAAGTGGCACTCGGAGCCCTCTCTGTGGGCACGTGCGCCACCGCCACCAGCTGCTCGCACAGGTCCATTAGGCTGCCACCCAGAGCTGCAGGCCTGCCCAGCATGAAGGAGGCAAAGCAGTCGGCTAGGAAGCCACCTATAGAGGTGATAAAGTACGCCCAGGGCCAGCAGGCAGAAGGTTACCCCAAGCAGGGAAAGCTGGATCCCCATCGGCGTCATGGCCGCCCAGGCCCAGCAGAGATGGGTGGGAGGCACGCAATCCTAGCTCGGGATGGCCTTTGGCTTGCTGGGAGTGGGCGTGCTCTACCACCTCTACTCGAGCTTGCTAGCCTGCCACTTCACCTCCTTTGTGTTGGGCGGGGCGGCCTAATGGATCTGTGCGAGCTGCTGGCAGTGGCAGCCTGAGGCGGGCCCAAGGTGCATTGGGTGCTTGAGGGGAACAGGCTCCATGTGCTGGCCAAGGGCAAGATCTGCGAGGGGGCTGAGGAGATTACCAGCAGCGACCTGCTCTCCAACTGCAAGTAAAAACAGATGGGACAGAGCAGGCACATCTGGCAGTCTGCATCATGTGCCTCCCCACTCCCCTACTCCGCCTGCAGCTGGAGGGGTGGCCTGGTATTGGCAGTGGGCTGCAGAGCCCCAGTAGGCTGTGGCTGCTGACAGACACCATTGGCCCCCATGCGCTCGCTGGCCTCTGTGTGCAGGGGTCGATGGTGTCAGGCAGCAGCCGCCCTGGCCCCTGCCTCACCTTGTCCCGCAGCAATGGCACCACCACCTTCCCCGCTGCCTCACCCCGCAGGATGAGCCTCCTGCCCACTGCCCCACCTGCCAGAGACCCCCTGGATCTCCCCCAACCCTGCCCACCCCCCAAGGTGTCCCCCCCACAAGCAACATCAAGGTGGCCTCGCTCATCCTGGCCATGCCCACCCAGTCTGCCATGACCACTACAGCCATGCCCACCCAGGGGGCCACACACCCCACCCCGAGAGGCACAATGCTGATGTGGCCCTGGCACTTTGCAATAAATAAGTGGGTTTTGGGTTGCGGTTTGGGCACTTGGTTTCTAAAAGGTTTGCCATCACTGCACTAGATCTTCTGTTATAGACTATTATAGTTACATGCATCGCATCAGTATAGATGCAGGATTGTATTGAATAGAATAGAGCTGGAAGGGACCTTGGAGGCCTTCTAGTCCAGCCCCCTGCTCAAGCAGGAGAACCTATACCATCTCAGACAAGTGACTGTCTAGCCTCTTCTTTAAAATATCCAGTGATGTAGCGCCCATATCCTATCTTTCACCATCTAATTTTCTGTTAGCACAGCTGGCTCTTATAGTTATTTCAATATTTCCTCTGCTTGCAATATCAGTTAGCTAGCAATTTCTGCTTATTTGTCTGTAATTTACTTGTCTGATTTTATGACTTTCAGGTGGCTTCTTCTATCGATTTCTGGGGGCAAGCTATTCCACTGGTTATTGTCCTCACTGTCAGGAAGTTTCTCCTTAATTCCAGGTTGCTTCTCTCTTTGATCAGTTTCCAACCATTGTTTCTTGTTTTGTCCTCTCGTGCTTTGGTGAATAATGTGCCCCCTCTTCTTTGTGGCAGCCCCTCAAACACTGGAATATTGCTATCATGCCTCCCCTATTTCTTCTTCTTTTTAGATTAGCCAAACCCAAGTCCCACATCTATTCTTCGTATGTTTTAGTCTCCAGGCCTTTGATCATCTTAGTTGCTCTTCTCTGTATTTTTTTCCAAACTTTCAACATCTTTTTTGTGATATGGTGACCAAAATTGGTTGCAGTATTCCAGATGTTTGGAACGTGGCTCAAGATCCCAAAACAAACAAACTCACTTGGAATTCCAGCAACAAAGTTTTATTCAAAATAAACTGTTAACAAATTTTTATATCCTTCCCCGGACGCAGATTCCCTCCTCCCCTATTGCATTCAACGCCCCTTTCCTAATCATCCGATAAACTAAAACCACTGTCCTTCCCATGTTCCAGGAAGCCCCTTTGTCCATATCCTATCTTTCACCATCTAATTTTCTGTTAGCACAGCTGGCTCTTATAGTTATTTCAATATTTCCTCTGCTTGCAATATCAGTTAGCTAGCAACTTCTCTTTTCTTATTTGTCTGTAATTTACTTGTCTGATTTTATGACTTTCAGGTGGCTTCTTCTATCGACCTTCATTAAAAATTTCTGAATAATACTTTATTCCTTTCACAGACGTGGTCTTACTAGGGTTTTATAAAACGGTAATAATACCTCGCGTGATCCTGATTCTATACCTCTGTTTATACAACCCAGGATTGTATTAGCTTTTTTGGCTGCTGCTGCTGCACACTGCTGGCTCATGTTTAAGTGATCGTCCACTAGGACTCCAAGGTCCCTCTCACAGTTGCTGTTTTTATTGTTTATGTCATTACAATAGTTAATTATAAAAAAATGAAAGTTGTGCAATGTTAATCCTGCTTTAGGCAAGAAAGCCGGATGTGTGACTTTGTGCCAGTCTCTCTCAACTCACACCACAGGGCGGTGGTTGTGAGGAAAATATGAAGAGGAAGGAGTATTCAGGATATTCTCCGTCTTGAGTAATTAATAAAAATAAAAAGACGGGATATAAATAAACACGATAGAGGTAGTCCTTGACTTATGAACACAATTGAACCCAAAATTTACGTTGCTAAGTGCAATATTGGTTGAGTTTTCCCCCACTTTACACCTTTCTTGCCACAGTTGTTAAGCGAATCATTGCAGATGTTAGCAACATGGTTGTTAAGTGAATCTGGCTTCCCCATTGACTTTTATTGTCAGAAGGTCACAAAAGGGGATCACATGACCTTGGGACACTGCAACTGTCATAAATATGAGTCTGTTGACCAAGCATCGGAATTTTAATCATGTGACCAAGGGGATGCTGCAATGGTCGTAAGTATGAGAAACAGTCATATATTGCTTTTCTCCGCGCCATTGTAACTTTGTAGCAGTCGCTAAATGAACTGCTGTTAAGTCGAGGACTACCTGTATTTAGTTCACTTTTTATGCTATATATTTAAAAACTAGGGTTGCCAGGTCTGCTTCCAAAAAATAGCGGACAAGCGGGGGGGGGGGTGTTAAGTAGTAAAAAAAGTAGACTGTACAGCTTTAGATTACGTACCATTTCATCATAAAGCTTTTGAATAAAAAAAATGTCCACTATTTTGTGAAAAAAAAATAGTGAACATAATGTGAAAAAAGTGGACTGTCCACTCAAATAGTGGACACCTGGCAACCCTACCTATTTCTCTTTTTCTTTAGATNCAATTATCCTAATCTGTATTTTGTGTTTACCTACAAAGGACTGGCAAAGCCCTTCCTCCTGACATAGTATTTATAAACTCCCCAAGCCACTAGATCAGTGGTGGCAAAC